CATCACATCACATCACATCACATCACATCACATCACATCACATCACATCACATCACAGGGAAGGAAGGATGGAAAGTAGGCAGGAAATGTACAGGAAGAAGGGACGTAGCTAGAGGGGAGCACCAAGGACTTTAGCCCTCCTTTTTCCATCACCTTCCTCTTGCCATATCCCACGCCCCTCTCTGGAATGGCCCTAGAGGCAAGATAAGACGTGGGGATGGAATGTTTTATAGTGGAAGTGGCAGCAGCAGGCTGAGGCAGAAAGGCAAGAGCCCAAGAGGAGGAGGTGGCGACAGGGCAGAGTAATTCTAGTTTCTGTCTGTCCGGGGCAGCTGCTCTGGAGTAGCTTTTCATATGCAAGGGACTTGTGCATATTGGGAACTATCTGAATATGCATGAAGGAAATCAGAAATTCAAAGTGCCAAATTCTGTCCCTGACCAAGCTAAGATTGACTAATTAACATGAGCTATTGAATCTCAAACAGAAAAGATGGCCAAAATAATTCAAAGAACTCAGCAGAACTGCTCCCCCAAGCCTCCTTTCCCCACTCAAACCCAGGGCCTGACCTCGGCCTGGTTGCTTGACCTCCACCTGCCATCAGAGCAGAGTTTCTCAGCTTACCAGCCTACTCTGGAAGAGAGTGTAGCTTCATAGCTGCTCTTTCATTCTCTCCTATGAATTATCACTAACTGTTCCCTAACCCTCACTGGCACTCAATTCTCTACTGCCTTTTGATATTCTCAAGGGGACCTTGATATCTAAGTAGCAAAGCACAGTGATCACACGCTGGCCTGAGCTCCAGTCCCTGCTGGTCCACAAACTGTCTACAAAACTTTGAAAATGGGTCTCGAGTTTCCTCCCCTTCTCTTAAAGGAGAAGCCTGGACCAGAAAAATCTTCTAGAGACTTCTTTCTGATCTAATTCTCCAGTGCCCACAGAGCTGGGAGCAGAAAATCAAGGAAAGCATGATGGAGGAGATAGCATTTAAGCTAGGCCTTGGAGGATGGGTAGGATATCAACGGGTATCCTATCTTTCCAAATCCCTTATTTTTCAAAGTGTCTTTTCTGAATCTCTCACTACTCTTAGCACAGAGCAAGTGTTCAATGTGTTGAATGAATTTTCAAACAGCAGCCAAAGTAAACAGTCTCCTACAGAAAATGGCGCTCTCTGTGAAATCAGAAGGAATGGCCCACTCAGCATGACTTCCCAGCCCACAACTTACCTGTAATGACTGATTTTCTCTGCCTAATTCCTGCACTGCTGCAGTTGTGTTGTCCAGTTTTCTCTGCAATTCTAGTACTTTGGCTTGAAGCTTCTCTATTTCACCCTCACTTTTGAGACACCTGAAGATGGATAATGAAGATATAATTAGATAGTTACAAAAGACTTAAAAGAGCCCATGAAACAGAAAAGGGACTCCTGAAGTAACTAAAAAAATCATTGAAATTAAACATTCATTATTTACTCCAAGTTATTTTTAGTTTTAAGTGGTGATTCAATACTAGCAGGGGCTTGTTTGTTGCTTCCCCCCCCCCCACATAATACGTGATTAGATGACAGCATATTCATTTTAATCAATCATAAAGTACACTTTCCCCAAATAGTATAATTTAATCACCTTTCCAACAGTGCTCTCCTTTCATCTTGATTATTTTGAATAGTTGCTTCCAATACTGCAATTTCGCCCCGTAGGTCATCTATCTGTTTCTCTAGTTCACTAACTCTCCGTTGGCTGGCCTGCCATTCTTTCTTTACCGTGCCCAAATTCTCATTCAAAGCTGTCACTTGCATGGCAAGCCTCGTCTCGTTCTCTTCATGCTTCCTAATTTTCTCTTCCTTTTCTTTTATTTCTGCATGCTGAAAAAAAGGAAAACAAATATATATGTATACACACACACATACTCTCTTTAGTATTATAATTGCAGTCAGATATGGGTTTGAGTGCCTTCCTCTCAAATTTCAAATTTTAGGACCATACAGTATTGTTTTCATGTAGGGACAAGTGGGATAAGTAACACTGTTAGCTTATAACAAGAGACACAACCACCATCTACTTAATCTAAATTAGCTCCAAGTCTACAGCTTTAAAATAATAGTTAGCTTACGACTTTCAAGTTCGTGTCAGATTTTAAAATGGTCTTTGGGTTCTTTTTGAAAAAGGCTAATGAAGAGTGAAATGAACAGAACCAAGAGAACATTGTACATAGTAAAGCGATACTGTTCAAAGAACAATTGTGAATGACTAAGTCATTTTGAGTGCTATAAATATTCAAATTGACTACAAAGGATCTATGAAGGAAGATGCTACCCACATCCAGAGAAAGAACTGATAAACAGAGGTACATATAGTATGGTTTTACATGCCCACACACACGAATGTGCACACACATCCACACATCCACACATACACATTTGTGTCTAATGATAGCCTTCTCTAGGATGGGGTGGGGAGGGAAAAAAATAAAAAGTGCAAAGCAGAGAACAAAAGAAAACAGACAGAAGCACAGAAAAGCAGGGTATGTAGTATTTATTACACAGTATACGATATTACATAGTATATTACATAGAATACGATATGTAGTATTTACTACATAATTTTTTTTAAAAAGTAAACAGTGAAACAGAAATTCATGGTTTTATATTGAATCCTCTTTTTATGTTTTGCTATGTACATGGAAATGTTCTTTTTTTGTCTTTTTGTATTTAAGTTCAAAATGAATAAAACTTAAAGAAAAAAAGACTTAGAATCTCAAATTAGTAATGTGAAGTACACAAAATATACCACTCTTCTCTTAAGTGTTTCCTTTATCTACACAAGTCCTACACTCTCTCCTACCGACCTATCAACAGGTAACTTGAATACCATTTAATTCATGGTTTGAATGTGAAATTACAATTTTATAATAATTGAATAATTTAGAATTAAAAGTTATATGAGTATATTTGGATTTAATTCAAAAGGAGAAAGCCAGATGCTTCCCATCTAGTACACAACAGAAGGAAAAGTATTGTGGTTTTTGGTCACCATAATTCTAAAATGAAATCTCATTATACCTTATAAATGTTTATTTTGCCTAAATAAATGTAACATGACAATATATTCGCCACTATTTTTCTTTTCTACAAAGGTGTTTTTGTTAACTTTTTGCAACTTTCAGTGACTTGTTTAAAATACGGGCATATATTTTCTAAATTAGAACTGATGCTAATGTCTAATAAATCTGTGTTTTCACCAACATGGATAGTCCCTCCACCAATTCAGATTACAATACCATTTATGCCTTCTAATCTTGTGCATGTAATTCTTGCCTATGTCCTTCTATAATTCTTCCACCAATTAGCCACTGGAAGGCCTTCTTTTAGTCTTTTAATACTTCAGAGGTACAAATATAACACTCAGATTGTCCATTTGTTTTCTCTTATTTTGTTGGCATGAATTTAGGATGGTGACCATGTGAGCAAATAGGAAGGGAAGCAAGATGTAGTGAGGATGAAATGTGAGCTAAAAGAAAAGTGTTGAGGATGATTTTAAGTTTACAAACCTGGATGAACGGTAGCTGTGAATAAAAGCATTTGGAGAAGTTCACCATCACTTGGAATTTTTCCTTTGTTTGAACATTGTGCTGGCTACCTTCCATATGCTTGGTAATCAGAATTCATGCCTACCTTGGGTTCAATTATTCCATGTATCATTGAACAAAGTTATTTTCATAGCTGTATCTATTACAGTGTTGTATAATTGTAACACATGTTTAGGACTTACTAAGGAAGGCCTTCAAAGCTGTATTTTATTGTATTGGGTCAACTGCTTCTTTAAAAAATATCAGACAGCACAATTATACATTCTTAATCATTTCAGTAAGAATTATGAGGACAAGATTTTATCTGTTGTAGAAAAAAGCACTTGAGAAAGCATGTCTGTTCTTAACTCATACTTTTATTGTTGTTGTCATTTTAAGTAATGTCCAACTCTTCATGACCCTGAATTCTCTTCTAGAAACTAAACATACTTAGTTGCTTCAGCAGATGCTTCTAAGTGGCCTAGTTCCCAACTCCTTCACTATCTGAGCCACCCCACCACCCCTCATTTGTGTACTCCAGTTTGCCAATGTCCTCCCTAAAATGCAGAACCTAAACGGAAATTGACAGTCAAGATAAGGTGGGATAGGGTACAGAACAGGCAGGCAATCGCCTCCCTGGCTTTGGGGACTAGGCTTCTGCTAAGTCAGACTAAGAGCACATCAGTTGTTTGAGCTGCCTCTTGACCCACACTGAGTTTACTATTTACTAAAACCTCCAAGTCTTTCTTATGTGAACTGCTGTGTTGTCATACAGTGAAGGATGAAATTGGCAAACACAGTTTAGAATCCAGGAAGGACAAAGGACAAAGACTTGTAGACAGGTTCAAGAGTGCTGGATACAGGGAGCACCACATGATTTCGTCGAAATAGGGTATATCTTAACAGAAGGAATAACTCTTTAAAGAAATCGCAGTCATTTCAGAATAAACTATCTCTGCTGTCAGATCATTATCTGATTAAAGCACAGTTCAACATAAAAGCCAAATTATAGGAAAAGATGAAGATGAAGACATTGTACACAATACTATTCGTGCAGCTCTAACCTGACCTATTTATAAACTTAATAAAAAGGAAAATGGATCCTAGAAAACAGAAATAATGCAAACCAGTTAGCACAAAGAACAAGCAGCAGTCTCTCGGTATCACACTGACATTATTCAATATTAAGATGCATGGATGCTGATAGCGTAGAAGATCTTGTCATGCTCTATACAGGTTACTGCAGCGCAGTAAGCAATCAATCATCTCCTCAGTGGCTTGTTTTGCACATTGTGAACAGTGCAACGTGAGATAATCCAGTTGATGACTCCCTCTTGTCGCCTTAGGGTAATGGTGAAACAAATGCCAAGGCCTTTATTCAACCCTGCTAGAAGAGCCTTTTGTCTTCTGGTTTAGCTCTACGGAGAACATCATGGTGGATCAGCTTCAGTTTCTCTATTAGCATCTCAACTATCAGAGAAACCTGGATACAGATTACAGGTTAAGAGTAGAAGCAGTTTAATGACTCTCTGCATGCCCTCTAAGAACTGTGACTCTTAGTATTCCCCCCTTTTCCACCTATTTTTTATCAGAGCCCATCACTGAGCAAGCTGAGAGCAGCAGACAATGGGGAGCTAGCATACCCCTGCAACTACAAATCACAGTACAGGGCAGGGCCTTGAGTCAGGAAAACTCCTCTTCCTGAATTCAAGTCTGGCTTCAGACACTTCCTAGATGTGTGAACCTGGGCAAGTCACTTAACCCTGTTTGCCTCGGTTCCTCATCTGTAAAATGAGTGAAAAAGCAAATAGCAAAGCACTCTAGTATAAGAAAATCTCAGATGGTATCACAAAGAGTCAGACATGACTAAAAAATGACTGCCTGAAGCATGCATTTGGATCAAATCATTTCATGGGTCACACACAATGGCCAGAACAATTCATCATCTGGTGGCTAAACTTGTCAAGATGAGCTTCTCTGGAAGGCACTCACCTGGTCCACAGCTAAAAGACACAGTCTAACATTAGGCAGTTATTAGAAACCTTCTTAGCTTGACAGATGATGACAGAATTTGTGTTCTGATGGCATCACCTTTAGCACAGACAAGGGTCACCTCCATGCCAGGAAAGGATATAGGCATAGGATTTTCTTTTTCCCATTTTTATTAAAAAAAAAAAATCCTGAAATTGGTTAAGTTAGTATAGCTATTTCCAGATGCCATTTTTTCATTAGATTCTCTAAAATAAAAAAAGACACAAACACATAACCAAAATACAAAATAATGTATAATAAATACAATAAAAACTTGCAAAAGTATTATGAGGCTCCAAGAATAAGGTTGTTACTAGTATAAGTCCAAAGAAAGCTTCATGGAAAAGGTGTCATTTTAGGGAAGGAAGACATTCCGGGAAGAAGAAACAACATAGTGGCAAGAAGGCAGAAGACTGAAAGGTGTATTTAGGAGCTGAAGAGTAGCCCCATTAGGATGGAGTATATGATATAAGGTATGTATGTATGTATGTGATATGAGATAAAGTTGGAAAGGTAAAGTAGCACCAGATTATGGAGGACCTTTACTGTCAGACTAAAGTATGTGAACTTTACTTAATGAGGTAATAGGCAGCCACTGGGGATTTTTGAGCAGAGGAGCGATATGAGCAGATCTATGTATTTTATGTGGTGGTATAAAAAAGGATCGGTGGGAAAGAAACTTACTAACCAATTTGGCTTCCTTCTCAGCGAATTCTTTCTTCAGATCATCTTCAGTCTTTTTCAACTGATCTTTTACTACTTGTTGGTTTTTCTTTTCCTGTTCAAGAGCTGACTCCAGGGCATCTAATTTGCCCTGAAGGTCTAGTTTCTGCTGAATCAATAACTGTTTGGCATCCTTTAGATTTGTTATTTCCTGTTAGAAAAACATAACACAGAACTAAAACTTCAAAATACACCTGCAAATTACCTGTAATTAATCATCTAACAATAATGATAATAACAACTTAACATTTTATTTCAATTATTTGAGGAGGTTGCTTTCCTTTGTTTTCCACACTTTTAAACTCACCCTATTCTCATCCCTCTCCCCCAGCCCTTTATCAGAGGAAATAATATTTTTCTAAGTTACAAAACTTAGTAGACAAATACAAGATTATGCATAGTGACCCAAAGCTACTATCCTTAAATCAAGATAGTTCCAATTTTCTGTGGTATGGAATGAAAAAAGGTCAGTCTTTTTAAAAAAAGTCATGCATCTGGCCTCTAAAAGTATATTTTTCAGTTATCTGGAAGCTAACTTCACAAGTCTCTCATCTCTTCCTTTAGATGATTATAAATGAAATTCCTTCATCAAATCTCAACAAAATCAAAACTTTTAGGTTGCCTTGTTTTTACTCAAGTGGTCATAAATTAAAGTCAGATATAGTAAATATGCAAAAGTAAAAGGATGTCCTGACAGGGATTATTTCATAGGTTCAAAGGATCACACAGACTTAGGACTAGAAGGGACCTGACAGGACATCGAGTCAAACCAAAGTGAGGGCGAATGACTTGTCTTAGGCCACACAGGCAATAAGCAAGATCTGACCCCATATCTTCCAACTCTAGAGCCAATGTTTTTCTAATGTCCTTAATCTTGGAAAATCTAATAATATTCCTTGTCTTTTAAAAAAAATCTTAATTCCTTTGTTTTCCCATTTAACTTTTAATTTCAAAGAAACTTCAGTATTTAGACATGGAACATTGACACTGGCAAGCATGGTATTTATCCACAAAAACATGCCAAGTCAGAAAACAGACATTCCAACTTACCTTCAGGCTTTCTTGTTTGCAGGACCCAAGTTCTTCACTCAATTTGGAAATCTCTTTTTCCTGCCTACCCTTAACTTCTTGTAGTTCCATCAGTTTGGACTTCTCATTAGCTAGTTCTTTTTCTTTCAGTGACTAGGGGAAAACATTTAATTGTGAAGTAGTCAATTCAGAATAAAAATATAAAGCTATATTTTTCTTATTCACAAATTTATTTAGCTTACAGGTAACTGAAACACTATATGGTTTTCAAAATTATGTCAATAAAACACAAAGGGCTGACCACAAAACGCTGCCTGAACTTCCTATCAAAATACCTTTCCAAATTGAACATTACTTATACCAAGTCTCTCCCCCTTTTTACATCTCAGATAAGCTCTATAATTTCATGATAGGTCAGTTATTTTGGTTATTAAACCAAAAATGACAAGTTTCTTCTCATTTTGTGTGAGAGAGTATATATTTCTCTGCCAAGAAAAAAACTAAAGATAAATGTGGTTTACATTTTCTAAGCCACTAAAAGCAAAGGTTGATATTTTCACATTCATAGCCTGATAATACACCATACATTTTATCTTACTGAAATGTATGCAATAGCACTTCCTACCAGAAAATGCTAACTTTTAGCTGAGGAGATTTTTAATATAGTTCAGAATGGTTTCCAGACTCTTTTACATCCTGCAAATGCAACCAAGGGACTAGAGACCAAGTAATATGAGGGCTGGCTAAAAACATTAGATATTTTCAGCCTGGAGAAGAGCAGAGACAGAATTGATACATACGAGAGAGCTCTTCAAATATTGGGTGGGATTTAGAATGGACAGACGATAAAGTATCCTATAAATTCCAGAAGGCTGATAGATGGAAGTTACAAGAGTTACAGGGAGGCAGATATCTGGACTTAACATAGGGAAGAATGACAAAAATAAAAGTAGTGAGCTTCCCATAGCTGAAAGTGTTCCCACACAGGATGCTGGATGAAGAACACTGCGAGAGCCTCCCAGAGCCTTCTTACTGAGTGAAAGTGAGAACCTCGAGGCCCCTTAGAACATCAAAGCTCCAGGTGAAGGACGGAAACGGAGAAAAGGCACCTTGTCGTTTCGCACAGATTGCAGTGCTTTTCCCTGCTCCTGTAACTGCTGCTCTTTTTTGGACACATCTTGCTCCAAAGAGGCCTTGGCAGTCTTAAGCTCTTGAATCATTTTATTCTGGTTTCCAAGTTGGTTTCGGTTTGAAATCAAGTCCTCCTGAGCCAGAGAGAGCTTTTCTTCTACAGACTAAGAAAAAAGATTTACAAGCACTTGTTAATAAACACTATGAAAAACACAAACACTTCTGACCACACTTTAATCAAAACAAGAGAAAGAATTCTCAATTAGGTTGTCTTGCTTAAATAAAAACAAAAATAAGTCCTGCAATGGTAGGTTTTTGAATTTTTACGAGTAAAAGATGTCATTTTGAAATATATGGAATCAGTTAACAAGAGTTTGTTGAGTCCTTTCTAACACTATATTCAGCAGGAAATATTTGACTTAATCCTTGCTCTCAAGGAATCTAAAATCATGTTGGAGAGACAAAGGTAATGCATAGGAAATAGCAACCATAAGATAGCAACTAGTTTAGGAGCTAAACTGTAAGGTTAAGACTAATGCTGGAGGATTTAGAATAAACTTTAAAATGATAGAACATTTAACAAAAGAATGAGGGTCCTTTTGCAAGTGATTTTATTACATATAAGTCAATACAGGGATACAAAGGAAAAAAGAAGAAAAAGCAAGTGGATAAAAGATGAAGGGAGAGGATGGGAAAAGATTCTTCTTTTCAATGCTTGCTAAGGTTCTTAGTGCTAGCTGGCTTTCCTTGCCATAGAGATCTGCCCCGAGCATTAAGCAGGCTACTCCTCTAGCTGAGAACTGTATTGGCATAAGGAATATGAAATCACAGCTACTTAACGGTCAGTCATGAAATGCTCAAAGGGCCCATGTTAAGAAGCCACACTCGGACATATAGTGAACATATATACACAAGACCAAGAGTCATTTCCCAAAAGGTAAGTGGTCAAAGGACGTGAACAAATAATTTTCAAAAGCAGAATTACAAACTATCAACAATCATATGAAAGACTACTCAAATCACTAATATGAGAAATACAAATCAAAACAAGTGAAATTTCTTGTAAACATTCAGAAATTAGCAAAGATAATGAGGTGAAAATGGTTAAAGTTGAAAAGGCCACAGAAAGACAGGCATACAGTTTATAGAGCTGATTTGGTTCAACTACGCTGTGAAAAAAAATTGCGGAATTATGTAAGAAGTGACTTGACTATTCCTACTCTTTGACCCAAAGATTCCACAGCTGGGAATATATACCAAGGAAGTTAAAGGCATCAAGACTGATCCCACATGTAACAAAACATTGATAATTTATGACAAAAAACTTATAAAACATTTTTTCTGGTAGCAAAAACCCAGAAATAATGCAGGTGCCCATGCCTGAGAAATGGTGAAATAAATTGTTGTGGCAGAATCATAGCTCTCGAGCGGGCAGGGACCTGTGAGGCCATCTGGCCCAATCCCCTCATCTCGCAGTTCAGGAAACTGACTCATGACTGGAACAGAATGTCACTGAGGGCAGAGACCGATCTGGTCATGCCTTGCATCCCCAGCACAGTAGGTGCTTTATGAAATGCTTGCTGAAGGAATGATACCATAAAAAATGATGAATGAATATGAGGAATCCCAAGAAATACAGCAAGATAGGAGAACTGATGCAAATCCATATGACCTCTGGGTTAAATCTGAGATTTACTGTGATCATTTAAAAATTACTTGTTTGGTCTGTTTTCTTCCAGTAACTTCCCTCAAAAAAAATCATCCTCATCAAATTATTCATTTTTACAGAAAGATAAAATGTATTTTAATGCAATATTTTATTCTATTATTTATTTAGTATTTTATTTTTCCCCAGTTAATTGTAAAAACAATTTTTAACATTTCTTTTTAAAACTTTGAGCTCCAAAACTCTCTCCCTTACTCTCTCCCTACTTCCCCTCATTGAGAAGGCAAGCAATTCAATATAGATTACACACGTTAACACAATATTTTAAGTAAACCTTTGTGAGAGGGTTTTTTCCCCTCCTTTTAGAAAAGTAACCCTGTTTAATGTCAGATGGTAGAAGACTGAACAGGGATGGTACTCAGATTCTCAGAGTTTATTTTAAACTCCAACAGCTACCTTTCTTTGAACTTGATCACATAAATAATCCAAAACAAAGTGTTTATGGTTAAATCTCCTTTCTATTTTTACTTAAAAAAGACAGAATCGAATAGACATTCCATTTAATAGCCAGTCAAGTAAAAATGATACTTCATCAATATCCCAGCAGGTGGTGCTAAAAGCACAGTTTAATTCTCACCCTTCCTATTCCTACTGGAGATCATGTGGGTCCAATCAATCCAACCAACAAAGAAGATTGTGAGATCTGCTCATTTCACTGAAACAGAAAGAAACCATGATGGCCATGGGTGACTTTCTGTGCAACGGCATAATCTTACTTTGGCTGGCTTATTTCTCATCAGGCTCCATCCTAATGTCCTACTACACCAATTTTTTTTCTTTGACAAAAACATGCAAAAAAAAAAATGTAGAAATTATCTACCTTATACTTTCTCAAAAAGCATTCCAGTCATTTTACAACCTAAATTGTTTTTTATAAATGTCATTCACATGTAAAACAGTGGACAGTGGGCTGAACTGGGAGCCAGACTTGAATCAGGATCTTACTAGCTGAATGGTGTTGTTCAGTTGTGTCTGACTCTTTATGACCCCACAGCCCGTAGTGTCCATGGGGCTTTCTTGGCAAAGATATTGGAGTGGCTTGCCATTTCCTTCTCCAGTGGATTAAGGCAAACAGAAGTGACTTGCCCAGATGTACACAGCTAGTAAATGTCTCAGGCTAGATTCGAACTCAGGTCTTCTTGACTCCAGGCCCCAATGCTCTATGCACTATGGTGTCACCAAGTGACTTGTTTAAGTTCATATAGCCAAAATGTGTCAAAATTAGGATCTGAATTCAGGTCTTCCTGACTCTAGGCCCAGCACTCTGTCCACTGAGCCACCCAGCTGCCTCCACTAGCTGAATGATCCCTAGGCAAGTCATTTCATCTCTTTCGGCCTCAGTTTCCTCATTTGTACAACAGGGATGATAATAGCACTTATCTCAAAGGGTTGCTGGGGGGGGAATAAATGAGACAATATGTGCAGGGCACTTTGCAAACCTTAAAGAACTACAGAAATGATAGTTATTTCTATTAGCTTACATAATGCATTCACACAGATAGTTCTAGTTGTTATCATAGCAATACATTAAGAGATAAAGTCTTAGTTTCAGTTGTGCCCATGACTTTGTCACCAAAGAAGTAATTCCAATGAGATGCATCACCCCCAGTTTGACAAGGATATTTTAACAATTAACAAACCATTTATAAAAAGCCATTTGAATTCTCACAAAGAACTTTAGAGCTCAGACATCTGGACTTAAATCATAGGATACCCATCCTAAATATACAGTCATAATGAGAATCTCCTTGTCCTGTGACAAGTGTCTAAAAGTAATACCTTCTGAAATGCTGTCAAATTACAGAGTTCTAAAGATTCTGTAGAATGACCAACTTAGGTCATGCAAAATGACAGCTAGGTATCACAGTGGATAGATAGAGTGCCAAGCCTGGAGTCAGAAAGACCCAAGTTCAAATCCAGCCTCCCACACCTACTTCTTGTGCAAATCCTGGGCAAGTCACTTAACCTGTTTATCTCAGTTTCCTCATCTGTAAAATAGGTATAATAATAGTGCCTATTTCCTGGGGTTGTTGTGAGGATCAAATTTGATATCTGTAAAGGATTCATAATTTCGTTAAGGCGGTCACCCTCCATCAACAAAGAAGACAAGCCCTTTAGACTTTGTGAAAATGGTGTTTAAGTAACCCAGGGGTGAGCCTTTCTCCACTGAGCTAGGTGGACCCTAAGATGAGACACGCAGGCCATCACTGACCCATACCTGAAACACTCCTAGGTTGGTAGAACCTGCCAAAGGCTTCCAGAAATCAGAGTCCCCCTTATGCCACAATAAGGCATAAAGAAAGGACTTTAGTCAAGGTTTATTTTTCCTGCCTGGCATCCTATATACATACAGTGCTCCTTATCAGATAAAGCATCTGCATCAGTAAGTTCCATCCCTGATCTTTTTTCAAACTACAGCATTTCTGGTCTGTTATTACTGTTTTAGTCCAATATAACTTGTATAGGTATTTTATGAAGTAACTCACAAAACCCTTCTCCAGTGCCTCATCATGCTTTTCAAAGCTATGCCAACAAAACATGAGCTCAAGTAGGTTCTTCCAAACTGGCAATGATTTGAATATGGTCCTGGCAACATATGTCCAAGGGCATTCACAGCCAGGGTTAGAGAAGTTTACCACTCACAGGCTGCCACTCAGTGATGAATTATTTGGCCATGGCAAACCATGACACAAAAGAAAACAAATACAAAATGGCCCTCAGCACTGTGTAGCCCCTTCCAAGTGTGCATGGATGGTGGCTAAATGGAGGAAAGGGGAGCCAAGGGTGCTAAGAATCACATTTTTTAGGTTAGCTACAAACATTACTTTAGTTATCAGTACTATCAATGTCAGGGATTATCCAGGGATCAGCAGGCAAATGTGTTACTCAAAGAACTGAATCACAGCAATCTTGACATTTACAACATAAACAAAATCAGAAGATAAAAGCTGCTGCTAAATAGAAGGATAGCTCACAGATTATTCTTGGCAAAGTAAATATTATAGCAGAAACCTAGCAGGACCTAGGTTCAGATCCTGAGCCTCACTACCTGTGTGACCTTGGACAAGTCACTGAACCTCCCTAGGCATCAGGTTCAAGAGATGTAAAATAAAGAAGCTAGACTGATTTTTAAGGCCATTCCAACTCTGGGCCTTTGTACATGTCCAAAATGTGCTCCCTCTTCAAGTCTCCTTTCTGGAATCTCTAGTTTCTTTTAAAGCTCAGTTCAAGTGCCACTTCCTACAGGAAGCCCTTCCTGATCTCCCCCACTGTTAGTCCTCCCTCCTCCTAAACACACACACACACACACACACACATCTATGTACATATACATTTTATATCAGCACTGTATCTATTTTGTGTTTCACTATACACAACCACATTACATAAGCTCCTTGACGGCAGGGAATGCTGGTGCTTACTCTCAGTGCCTGGCACAGGCACTTCATAAATAAATGCTTGTTTACTGAACAAATGCCTATTGAGTTCACCTCACAGAGCTTGCCGTACCTTGAGATCCTGTCTTGTTGCTAGCAGCTCAGACTCTTTCCCGTAGAAGTCAGACTGAAGCTGTTTGAGGTCTTCCTGACTCTTTTCGTACGTGTGCTGTAACGCTGATAGCTTGTCTCTCTCTGCTGTGAGGTCCTGGGATGAGAGCATTATCTGCTGCTGTAGTTTATTCTCAAGCTCTGTCTGAAATACATAAAAAGTGGCTTAAAAATTACAAATCGGAAAAATAGCAACAAAACTGTAGAACAAAAAGTTGGATTTATTTCGGGATTCATTTGTACCCTGTTCCATTGAGAATGATATGAGAAAACACCAGATTATATGTAGCTTTGTGCTCTAAAATTCCATTTCTTTCAAAAAAAAATTTAAGTTCGGACTATAATTTTATCACACTGATGAAAAGGGAACTACAAAAAAAGCTATTTTCCTACTTAATTTTTAAGTGATGAACAAAAATATTAAAAAATAAAGCAAAATAAAAAATCTAGTTCAACAATTAACTGTTTTATGTTCTAAAGAATTTAAAAGAGGACTGTCTGGGAAGTCAAAGGACTCAAATTTAAAACATCCCTTTTAAACTTACTCCTGTGCCCTAGGCAAGTTGCTCTACCCTCTCTGGACCTGAATTTTATCATCTCTACAGATTACTGACCAGCTATGATTCTGGGTGGTCTAAGAAGTCGATTTATGATTACAATGTAGAGACTAGTCTCCTATGAAAGACCAATAAAATTATCTTGGCTACAGAGCAGAAACTAGAGCTAATTTGGAATAATCTTGTGGGCGCAAGGATAGAAAATGTTATTCTGGATTAAAAAAAATTTTTTTAACACATATTTTTTTTTCTTTAGGAAATACATTCAATTGGACTATGCTTTACCCAGGAGTTTTTTGGGGGTTTTTTGGGGGTTTTTTTTTTTTTTTTTTGGTTAGACAATGGGGTTAGCAAGTGTTATGTGTCTGAGGCCAAATTTGAATTCAGGTCCTTCTGACTCCCAGGCCGGTTCTCTATCCACTGAGCCACCTAGCTGCCCCTGCCCAGGAGTTTTTAACCTTCTTTGTCTCATGATACAACCTTTCTGCAGTCTAGTGAAGCCTTTGGGTCCCTTCTCAGAATATCTTTAAATGCATAAAATAAAATACATGTAAGTACAAAGAAAACCAAAGGTTAATGAAAATAAAGATGTAATTTTTTTTCCACCTAAGTTCATAGACCTCCTGAAATCTACTCATGGACCCCAAGAATTAAGAGCCCCTGGCTTAAACCATCTCAGACAAATGACAGCTTGACCATAGGCTATCACACAACCTTCCTCAGTAACTTACCATCATGGATTCCTTAAATGGAACCTGACTCACTCATGCTATCCTTTTTAGCCCTGTCTTCTTTTTACATGGTACTCAGAAGAGTTACAGATCAGCTGGCCATCACCTTCCTATAAGAGATTTTCATGTATTTGGAAACTACTGTTAAATTGTGTTTTGGAATTAATTCTCTTTGACCTTGTTTTCCAGTTCTTCACTCCCAAGTTCTCCACATAAAGACTCCAAATTATACCAGCAGGAGAGAACAGACACTAACCAGTGATGATCATAAAGAAAGACAGCATTACCTCATAGTTCCTGCATTCTATACTTGTTTTTATGTATTACAAGGCTGTTCATTTAAAAAATTTGGACCCATACTTCTGACCTACCATCACCTTGTTAGTCCCTTTATTTTGAAATATTTGTATTTAAAGCTTTTATTTGTTCCTGAAGTATACCTATCACTTTATACTTGTCTATACTCTATACTTGTCATTCTCATCTATGTTTCTAGCCTCTTTTCTAATTTCCCAAGGTTATTTTTAATTCGATTTTTTTTATACAAAGGCTGACTATTCCCCTGCCCCAGTCAGAGTAGTCTATAATAAGGTTAATAAACATGCTATTTATTCCATCATATAGTTCACTGATGAAAATGTGAGCTAACAGTAAGAAATACACTCTTGAATCTAAAAATCCTGGACTAGACTAGCTAGTATAACAAGATTATACCCATTAACCAAAGTTTTGAAAGAAATGTCTGAAAACTATTAACCTCAAGAAAAAAGACTGATAAAAAAAAATTTTGTCTTTCTTGAATATAATCAGTGGAGCTATAGTACTTTAAGAGGGGAAAAAAAATCTAATGAACCATTTGTGCTAGACTTTTTAAAGACTGATTCAAAAATAAGATTTCAAAACTTAAATGAAAACATTTTTATAAGTCTATTCTGTCTTTTGTCACTGTTCACATTTATACTATAAACAGTTTATACTATAAACTATATTTTAACCTCATGCCACTGAATTGTTAATACATAAAACATTGTATCTGCTTCTAAGTGGTAGTAATGTTAATTCAGTATCTTCCTTAAAAAAAGTATACCCATGCACAAATAAAAATAGCTACATCACCAGAACAGGGAGAAAAGCATTTTTTTCAATTAAGAAAAGATCCCAAATGAATCTCTCCTTTACAATGAAGATGGCTCTCAGTCCATACAAACATCAGAATATATAGAAAAATAAAAAGGAGGGGGAAAAAAGCCTAGAAATCAACTTAAAACAGGTCACAAAACAAATGTTCCTTATGATTACACTTAAAATAGAAAATAAAAATTTCTTCTAATTACATGAAACTTGACACTGCTGACATTTCCAAATGTTATTTCATTTATGGGTTTAATTTTTGACATTTCCACTCAAAACAATGCTTTTCTAAAAATTCTCAATTCAATTTCTAACACACTAGGATTATCTAATCTTGCTTTAGATGGAATTAAATTCAATGAAATATCTACTACTGTGTGCAAAGAATTATAGCAAGAGAAAAGGTCGAATAAGAAACAATCTCTGCTCTGTAAGGGTTTAAATATAGTCCAGGAAAGATGAACAGAATGTAAACAAAGAAAAAAGGCTTTATGATGTATGAAGTACAATGGAAAAGATCAATTCTAGCTGGGATTGGTGGTTAGAGAAGCCTTTGTAGGGTTAGCAGTATTTAACCAGGAAGGAAAAGCAAAATCTCAAAAGGCAGACATGGAGAGGCATACACTCCAGGCATAATGAAGGTTGGAAGACAGGAGATAGGGAAAAGTGGATATAGGGAGGCAGATGGGTTCAAAAGCAAGTAGCCCATTCGGGCTGGAGGGTAGCATGAAGAAAAGCCGAACCACAATGGAGAGGGGCTTGAATGCCAGACTCTAAACAGGAGTTTAGACTTTATTCAACTAGCCATGGAAAGGCACCACAATGTTTGAACAGGAGAAGAACTTGGGCAGCACTGTGCAGAAGGGAGACTACTGTGGCGTGAGCGTGCAGGATGAACTGAAAGAGAGAAGAGCCTGAAGGGAGAAAATCAGCTAGAAAACTCGAACAATTGTCCAGGTGTGAGGTAACAAGGGACTGAACTGAGGTGGTGGTAATGGAAATGAAGGGGGCAAATGCAAGAAATACTGTGAAAGTAAATTCAATAGGACTTGACAGATCATCTATGGGACACAAAGGAAGGAAAGGTAATGAAGAAGTTCCTAAATTTCAAGCAGAAGTGCCTAGAAAACATAAGGGTACTAGTAATACTAAAGAAGTCAGGAGGAAAAGCAGGTTTGGTTAGGAAAATGAAAAGTTTGGTTAAGACTAAGAAGAGAGGCCTACTCTGGAGACATATCCACACAGAAGGAATAACTGTGATTATCAGGGAAGAGAATAAAAGAGGCTGGGGGAATGTTGACATTAAAGGAATGAGAAGAGGAGCCATGGGAGAGGACAGGGAAGACTGGAGAGGTAGAAGAGGGTGGAGCAGCTACAGAAACCAAGGGAAAGAAAAAGAGAGTCAACTACAGGTCAAGGGACTATGAAGAAGCCCCTGGAGTTGGTGATTAGGTCATCGGACAACCTTAAAAAAGAACTTCAGTGGAGCAGGAGAAAAAGATAGATCACGAGGGACGAAGGAGTGAAGGAGGAGAGTTTAAACTGCTCTTCCTGGAAGCCTGAAAGTAACAGAAAGCAGAGACAGATAAAGGGCAGCAGGGGCAGCAGGGGAGTTGTTGGGCGTTTTTTAAGAAAGACTTTACCTGAGCAGTTTTGAAGGAGGAAAGAAAGGATCAGTGAAGAGAGAAATTCTGAAAATACAAGAGAGGGACAGGGATTACTGGTACTACAAAGTCCCCAATGGACTAAATAACAGGGGGAGGGATTATCTTTGGCAAAAAAGAAAGCCATCTCTTTCTCTGAGACAAGAGAGGGGAAAAGAATAGAAAATTAAAGAGGCTTGAGGGGCACAGGAGGGAAGTGGAGGGAACTCATACCTGATGGACTCTTCTCACTAAAGAAGAAGTTAAGTTTATCTGCTGAAAAAGTAAGGAGGGTTGGAGATGGTTTGGGAACTCAGGAAGAATGGAAAAGGTCTTAGGCAGTCAATCACTTTTAGATGCAACAGGGAATCAATAAGAAAAAAATTAAAGAATTAGTCGAGCAGCAATAAAGACGAAGTAAAATAACATGAATTTGTTACAGACTTCATCAATGTGGCTTCATGACTTTTTTTAGTTATAATCAACTACAAAGGAGTGTGAGCTGAGAAAGCAGATGGTGAAGGCAGCAATGAAGTTACCCACTGATTAGGGGCAGTTAAAAGACTAAAGATTCACTATGAAAAAAAAAATGTGTTCAGTTAAGAGTGAGATGGATAAAGGAACAAGAGGAGGTATGAAGTAATGCTACTTTACCAATAATAATAATAATTATAGCTAACATATAGCACCTACTATGCACCAGGCACTGTGCTAAGCACTTTACAATTATAATCTCATTGGATCCTTACAACCACCCTGAGAGTTAGGTAGGTACTGTTATTATTCCCATTTTACAAATGAGGAAAACTCAGGCAAACAGTGGTTAAATGACTTGCCCAAGGTCACATAGCTAGTATGTTTCTGAGGCTAGATTTGAACTTAGTCTTCTCAACTCCAGGCCTGGCACTCAATCCAATGCCTCATCTAGCTAGTGCGAAAGAGTGGCAGTTATATAAAAGGTAACAAAAGAATTTATGCGAGCTAATTCATACTTCTTGGCTTTAAAATAGAGAATATGATTCCACAATCATACTTAATATATTTACATACTAAAGTATTTGCAGCAATATCCAAACTTTCTATAATTTTAATGTTGAAAAATTCCTTATTCACATATGAACTGCTCACTGATGTGGAAATCATTAATTTGCTTACTTTACCACGCTAAACATTGCATTATTTTACAAGAAGAGCAAACGGACACAGTATCAGACCTTCTGGGAAAGTGTCGTTTTCATTTTGTCTTGAAGTTCTTCAGTCTGCTTCTTTCTCTGCTCGAGTAGTTGCTTTAGTGAATTGAGTTTCCCCTGAAGTTGCTGCTCCTCTCTTTCCCTTTCTTTTGAATCATTTTGGACGTGTGAGACTTGTTCCTTTGCAGAGCTGGGGTGCAACTTCAACTGCTGAGCAGCCTAGGAAAGGAGAAAAGTTAAAACAGCTTTATCAAATGATCCAGAATCATTCTACCCAGTTACTGATGTACATGACATTTATCACAGTAACACACAAGTTACCACTATCTTTCACACTGAACAAGCCCTCCTATGTCCTAAGCATCTCTGCTGAAAATAATTTCAAAATGTAAAGGCTTTATTTACATCCTTTTAAAATTCTTACTGTCATAGGAAGAAGAAAATCTTACCTCCTTCTCCTTTTCAACTAACTTCTTTTCCTTTTCATTCTTTTCCTTAACGGCACATTCAGTCTGCACTTGATGTTTTAGTTCCTTGCAAATCTTTTCCTGTAAAATTAAAACTATATTATCCAAGGAGCATTTTTAAAAAGAGACTTAGGTACTCTATAAATATTTCAAGATATATACCAGGCCATGATGGGAATCATTAAATTACCCACTATTCAATGGGTGGGAACATCTCACACACACACACACACACACGTACATGTACATATACACATATGAACATACATGCATATACACGCACAACAGGGTATAAAGAACATGTCTTGCAATGAAAAGGAAAACCTAGTAACAGAGAGGCAGCATTTACATAGCACTTCAAGGTTTACAAAGCACTTTACAGGGTCCCTGAGGGCCTCGGTGAGTGGGCTATCCATTCTGCCTAACTACCTCACTGCAATATAGAACAGGGATAGGATTTAGAGTTGGAATGGATCTTGGAGGTCATCTAGACCACTCCCCTCATTTTATAGATAAGGAAACTGAGGCTCAGAGAAAGGGAGTGACCCATGTGTGGTCCTATGTGTAGTTGTGGCATAAGCCACATTCTCAGATCACAATTCCAGAGATCCTTCAGTACACTACAGACACATGGCCTCCTCGGTGCAGCAGACTGTGTGAAAGAATTCCGGGAAAGGAGGCTGGAGCCAGACTGAGTAGATGCCAGACTATAAAGTTTGTATTTTACCCTAAAGGGAAAAGAAGCCACTGAAGTTGTTTGAGCAAAGGAGTACCATAATCAGGCCTGTACCTTGGGAAAGTTATTTTGGCAACAGACCAGCAGGCTGGGGTGAGGAGAGATCAGAGACCCCTTAGGAAGCAGTTACAGGCAAATAGTGACTCAGCCTTGAACTAAGATGGTGACCATGGGTGATGAGGAGACGAATATGAAATATGGTACGGAGCTATAATCAAGAGGAGATGGCAAATGACTGCACATGGAATATGGAAGAGAAGGAACAGCCAAATCTATAGACCTCTGAGCTCAGGGGTGGGAGGGACCAGAAGGGAGATAAGCACTTAAGGTGAAAGTTTTGAATAGCTCCTGTGGTGAGTATGATGGTGACTCAATCAGGGAAGAATAAAAGGACTGCCATGCAGCAGCAGGTAGGACCAGCTGAGATGACAGAATAGCGGGCCCAGCAGGCACAGTTGCAGAAACTCCCTCCAGAAGCATTCTGGTAGCTCTGGGGCAGGAAAAGATTTTGAGAGTGACCCAAAGTTGAAGACTGGCAGGATATGAATGGTGGTAGGGCACAAGAGCAAGAGAGTCAAGGGTGAAAGCAACACACAACAGAACTTACTCAAGTGTGGGGTAAAGATGGAAGAGGAGAAAGTGGCACCCAAACAGTGGTTGCTGGACTGGGAGAAAAGGGAGAAATTGTGAGGAGCTGAGATTGCAATGGCATGAAAAACAGGTTGGGGAAGAGAGAGAAGAATGAGAGACTATGGTAAGAGAGTGAGCTGGCACACACCTATACTGCCTGCAAAGGAAGCCGAGGCTGGTGGATCACTGTGGCAAAGGAGTTCTGAACTGCAGGAGGCCAAGCTAATTGAGGGTCTGTACTGAGTGAGCCTGGGATGCAGGGGACCACCACACTGCCTAAGGAGAGCTGAACTGGCCCAGGTCAGAAACAGAGTGGGCCAAAGCGCCTAGGCCAATTAGTAGTGGGGCTGGGTCTCTAGGTAGCTGCTACACTTCCAGCCAGGATGAGGTAGGGAGAACCAGTGTCAAAAGAATAGAAAAAATCAAGACTATTGTAAGAGAGGGTAATTTCAGAGTTCAAAACCATGGAAAATATAACAGCTGTAAGCAAAAATGCGATCTAAGATTCTAACATCCCTGCTAAGGAAAAGCAAGGCCAGATGACCATTAGGGCTATTTTACAGAGGAAGGTACTGGTTGGCCGGATGGTCCCTGAAGGAGGGCAGAGATCAAGGGGCCAGACCTGGAAGAGCTTGCTTAAAAGTTGGTGCCATTTCTCTGTTCTTAGACTCCACAGAGAGTTCATGGCACCTCCAAGATTATTTCTTAAAAATAACATGTTTTATTTTGTTACTTTACTTGGTATCTGTAACTCAAAGAATACTGAAGATCTCAGAGACAATTTAGAACAAACCTCTCATTTCTGAAATAAGGAAAACAAGGCAGAGAAGGGAAGGGACTTGGCAAAGGTCACAGAGGTAAGCAGCAGAGTCCATTCTTGAAATCAGGACAAGAGCTCTTTTTAAATAACCAAAATACAGAAAAAAGGAACTAGAAGACATCTCAAAAGGTCATCTGATCTAGTTTCTTAATTCAGACAGGGACCTGAATATATATGCCTTCAGGATCAAAGGATTTTAGAGTTGGAAGGGACCTTAAAGCTGTCCTCTAGTCCAGTGACGTCAACTGAAATGGAAATGGACAGAAGTATATTGACTTAGGAGATCACATATTAACATAATCTATTTTGTAATATATTTCTACTTAGTTGGTTAAACATTTCCAAATTATATTTTAGTCTGGTTCTGTCATGCTGGGAGGTTTTGGTGTCCTCCAGCTGAGAGTTTGACACTTCTGATCTAGTCCATCCCCACATTTACAAATGAGAAAATTGAGACAGGAAGGTTAGCTGATTTGCCTGAGGTCACAATGCGAAGTAAGGAGCAGTGCTGGGAATTAAACCCAGGTCTTTGTCTCCAAATCCAGTTCTTTTCCCAAAAGTTCTTCCTACCTGCTTTTGCAAAAAATGGTTGTCGATGCAAGTCTTAAATTTCTATTTTCACGAAATGAAATTGTATAATCATGTCTCAATTTGTTTTATTTACCTCCAATCTAAATTTTCCTTGCCTTTTTTGGGGATCAATTTCATCTTATGTGGTTCTCATATGTAGAAAACGACCAGTCATCACCCTCTCTTAAAAACCCTTTGAAAAAACCAATTCAGTCTCTTCCACTCCCTGTACCACTGGCCCTCAAAAGGAAATTAAATAGAAATGCAAAAGAATACAATAAGTTACTGAATAAATGCCCTAAAAAGATTACACAAAATATAAAATAAGCATGATATCCCAGAAAAGTAAACAGGAATAACTAACCAATTCTGCTGAAGCTGTTTTTCCACTCTGCTTTTCCTTTTCTAATTCATTCTTTGAGTCTTTCAAAGACTCGGAGGTTTTTGCTAATTTGTCTTTGGTTGTGGAAAGTTCCTTTAGCAGCCGGTCTCTCTCCATCTTCACTTGTTGTAAGTCTGTCACTGCTGCTTGCATCTTGCCATCCAATTCCTTACGCTGACTCTCTGCGTCTTGATGTAATTTCTGAAGTTCTTGCTTAAGGTCGGATTTTTCCTTCTCATGTTTGGACAGCATTTGTGTTGCGTGTTCGAGGGCATCAGATTTCTTCCGTAGATCCAAATGGGCAGTAGAGACGCTAAATGTTTTGTGGAAAAAAGTTTAAAACCTTTAAAAGTCAGTATTAGTAGCATATGAATATATTACCCACAATTTTTTTTCTTTTGTAGTCCATAAGTGAAATTAATTTAAGGATATAATTTTATAGAATAATTGAGCTGGAAGGGACTTTAGGAGATCAAATGATCTAAACACCTTACTTGATAGAGAAGGGACCTGAGATTCAAAGAAGTCACATGACTCACCCCAGGTCACAAAGCTAGTGACAGATCCAAGCCTAGGATCCAGTTCTCCTGACATGCAGTCAATGCTCTGTCCATGATCAAGTTTTTTTCGTGCACCTGGAAGGGAAATCTCTCCTTCTGCTAGCCCCTAAGTAACACAGGGGGCTTTGCTACTTTCCTTTTTATGGCAAAGCATGAAACACAGCATATGAGTTAGCCCAGGCCTACAGAAGTGAAGTCGAAGTCTTTTCTTTCTGGAATAGGGTGGGAAAGAGTATTTCCCAACAATCTGTTCTAGAACCAAGAGGTAACTCTGGAATATATCACATATACTCTCTCTGTAACTTAAAGAGTTCTTAAAGATTTTTTGCCAACAGAAGAATAAATGTGTGGCATTTTCAACATCTCATTAACTAAATGACATGAACTAGGTAGATTAAGACTGAGCTAGTTCAGCAATGGAAACTATTAAATTCTCTAGGAAAGAAATAAAATCATTCCTATTTGGCTACTTGGTTAACATCACTTTGAGCCCACATCAAGGCCTACAGCAGCAGGGGAATTGACTTCTACCTCATCAACCACGTTCTATTGGGGATTTCTTTCTTTCATAGATGAGACAGCCACTGAGCTCCCTTGCAATTCTCAAATTCCGAGATTTTTGTGTGTCTGCGTCTGTGTGTGTGTGTGTGTGTGTGTGTGTCTGTGTATGTGTGTGTACTACATTTTCAGTGTGCCTTATAATCACTACAAATTCTACAACACTTTAATAAAGAATATTTTCATTATGATGACAGCTGTATAAGCAACATGCTTAAAGCTAATAAAACTTAAAATTTTCTAACTTTTCATCCTCTGGATCACATCATTACAACTCCTTCTTTTCCTTCTCTCATGAAGATTCAAGAAAATAGAAAAGCTGAGCATGTGGAAGATTAGAAATGGTAAAATATTAAATTTTTCTAATGACAAAGTGGTTCTCAAAGTTAGTAACAGGATTTAAGACCACTATGCTCCTACAACCAAAATAGTTGTAAAATAAAATGGTTACTAAATAGGTTGCTAAAATAGTTAGAATGCCTCCCAAGCTGTCCTGAAGAGTCAAGATCATGAGTTTCCTTTGCCACGCCCCTTAAATTTTCTCCAGATTATCCATGGCCTTAACCACAGGAATACAGCAGCAGCAACCAAAGCAATTGGAACAGAACCATGAGCTGTGAGACTGTGCCAAGCAGGGTTTCTAGGGAGAGCCAGGGTGTCCCTCAGGGTCCCCTGTGAATGCCAGGTCAGTCATTACTCATAGCAGTTTGAGCTGCTGCCAAGAGAAGACTCGCTGCCCCACTGGCTGACGTGTGTGCCCCCTCCCTGAGGCTGTGGTCCCAAACAGCCCCTTCTTTTGTTAACTCCACACTGTTTTATTCAAATTTGTGAGTAAATCCAGGCAACTGCTTTACCCTGGTCAACTAGATAGATGACTCAAAAAAAAAAAAAAAAACCAAACCCAAAACTTCCCATTTCTTGCCCTACCCAAAAGAAACAAAATGGCTCTACTGGATTATGATAGTTTTAATTTCCATTTCAAACAAACATTTCCATACATGGATTCAACACATTTAATGTAAACATTTAATAAACATGAAATCATGTCAACAATATGGAACCTTTGTGGAAATAGCAAAATAAACAATATCCACTTTGAAACTATGTTGGCTTACACTTCTCTCTCAGCTTCCAGCTGTTGACTCAGCTCTGCAGCTCGGAGATTTAACTCGGCATTCTGCTGCCTTTGCTCTTGTAGATCATGTAAAATTTGTTCCTTACTTGCTTTAGCTTCAAGAATATCAGCCTCCAGTTTCTATGAAACAAAAAAGTTCAACTTTAGTGGCTACTTTAGTCTAATTAATTGAGAAATCTTGAAGAATTTCCTTACATAGAGTCCACATTATTCCACTCTTGTTTTCTTGGACCAGTTTTTCCACAAAAACAGCCATGAAACACTCCTTTAAATTATAGGAAAAAAAATTCTGAATAGGAATTCTGAACAGTAGAAAAAAATTTACATGCCACTTTTTGTTTTTTGGGTGGAAGTGAGTAGGTCTGTGATATTATCAGTGTGGAGAACTCCTGATGTACAAAAATCCCTCCACTGATGCAGATCCTCAATCATTCTTGGAAAGCAGCCTGAGCACCACAGCCAGGACATGTCAGAGGCAGAACTTAAACTGGTGTTTTTCTGACTCTACTTTATCATGCTGTCTTTTTAGTGGAGATCAAAAAATTCAAAACAAAGAAAAAATGAAATTCCAGATTTATAATTAGAGAAATATTATCCTTCAAAATAAATGACATCAGTTTAATTATTCACACATAATTATTTCACCTATTCTAATTACTGTAGTCATTTATCTGTTTAAACTATTTAGATAATGTTCTCATTAAAAAATTCTGCTCTTTCTGCATAAAGCAAAAGAAACATACATACGATCACTTAAAGTATTGTTTGAATAACTAGACACATTTTAACAGTTCTATACCTGCTAAATACAACAAATAACTTTGATGTGTGCACACACACACGCAACACATATGCACATACACACACAGGCGCACCCACTCAACCCACCCCAACGCACACACACAGAGTTCCAAAATTCTTAATGCAGTTTTAATAGCTAAAACAATTATTAATGTTTAATAACTTAAAACTGCACTCAAGCTCTTGGATTATCTCACGTATTGTTATGCTTAAAACATTCAGAAAAAATGTCTCAAAACTATTTTACACAACTGAGTTTAATTCTTAAAAAATTGGCTATAAAAAGCACTAGCATATTTCCTAGGATTATTAACTGTACCTCACTGGACTCTGGATGGTCTGCTAGTAAGGTTACAATCGCATAGAATCTCAAGGTTAAGAGGAAATTTTTTTTTCTCCAAGCTTGAAACTCACATAGGAATTTCTTTTCTCCAAGTGCTTAAATGGTCTCTACCTGACGACTGTGAGTGACAGGATTCTTAGAACCTTCTGACAAAGCCCATTCTATTTACTTTGGGACAGCTCTCATTGACAAGGATTTTTTTTTTAAATACACAACTTTTTTGCAACTTCTACCTAACTTTGCACTCTGGAAGCAAACAGAACAAGTGTAGCCACTCTCCTAGATGACAGCCCTCGGACTTCTCAGCATCCTCAGGTTGGTAATATGCAACCTTCTACTCCCCTACCATCCCGGAGGCAGTCCTAGGGTGACGTTCTTCCTAAAAATGAAACCCAGAACTGACTTGACACAAGTGAATCAATGGATTTCCATTCACTCCTCTGAAGACGTGGTTGGTCCAGAGCAGAGAACCCCTAGGCCACCCTTCACCCTGGACAATGGGGTCCTCTTAAGGCAGCCCAGCATGCCATTTTCTTTTTTGCTGCAAAATCACACACTGTCAATTCATATTAAGCTTAAAATCAACTCAAATCTTTCTGAAATCAACTGCTGTCTCACTGCTATTGGCCTTCTTGCATACTTGAGCAGCTTAGTTTTGAACCCAACTATAGGACTTTACATTTATCCATACTCAGTTTTATTTAATATTTGGTCCATTATTTTAATCTATCAAGATCTTTTGGTTCCTCCAGTCTATATTCTAACACGGTAGCTATCCCCGCCCCCCGCAACTATCACCTGAAAATCTAAGCATTCCATCCAAATCTCAAATAAAAATGTTGGACAGTTAGAAAGGTTTATAGGACCCTTCCCTGGAGATCTCTCTCAGTCTCCACAATACTCATTAAATGGAGGGCTGTGGGAAGACTCTGCTAACTGCAGGCTAATCAGAAAATTCTTGTCTTTCTTTGATGATTCTTGAATTTTTAACATCTCAGGGTAATCATTAATAATATCAATTTTCATCATATGTAACTGTAGATTAGAATGTGTAGGTGATTAAGAGGAATTTTATAACAGAAAAAATTTTGGTAAGAAAATGCTTTATAATAATTGTTTTTTTACAAATTTTACAAATTTACAAATTTTTACTATTATTTTATTACAAACCTTTACTTGGCCCTCTAATTCTTCAGCTCTCTGTTCATAAGAGAGCTGCTTCTCTTTTAATTCCTTAATGAAGGTTTCCAGCTGGGCACAGTGATCTTGCTTATCATGTAGCTGGGCAGTTACTTCATCCAACTGATTACTGATTTTATTGAGCTCCTACAAAGGAGAAAATTTAAGAGTGTTTCAGTCAGGCTAACCTACTTTTGTCTCAAGATTATATAATCTACATACATAGATTACATAAAACTAATTGGTATAATTGAAAATCAGCACTTCAAGGCTCCATGATTTAAGACGTAGATGGACATCAACCCAGATCAGGGGTGGAGAATCTGTAGCCTCAAGGCCACATGTAGCCTTCTAGGTCCTCAAGTTCAGCCCTTTGACCGAATCCAAACTTCACAGAACAAATCTTCTTAATAAAAGGATTTGTTCTATAAAACCTGGACTCAGTCAAAAGGCTACACCCAAGGACCTAGAAGGCCACATATGGCCTCGAGGCCACAGGTCCCACCCCAGTCCCTGACCCAGATCACAGCTCTCCACCCCTGCATATTTTCATTTTCCAAAGTCGCTGTGGCTGCAAAAATGTATAACTGATAATCCTTCTGGTAACTAGCCTGTGGTCTATACACTGAGACAGTTCTACCTTCAACACTTTTCTGATTTTTTTTTAAAATGCTTTTCAGGGGGAAATTACTTTAGGAGTCACAATGATTAAGCTAAGGAGAATAACATATCTTTTAATATTTTAAGGACATAGGCTTTCTTCAGCATGGATCACAATACCTCAATCCCTTAATGTAGTGTTTCTCAAAGTGTGGTTCAGGGGATCCCTGGGAATCCATGAGGTCAAAATTATTTCATGATGATACTTAATTTCTCGTATGGCAAATATCTCTATCCATCTCTCTACCTACCTATCTATCTAAAAATCTACATAAACAAAAGCTTGAGGATGGGGGTCAATAATTTTTATGAGTATAAAGTGCTGCCTTCATGAATAAACATTGTACGTTGCTGTGATTGAGGAAAATTCATCATCTGGTAACAACCTTCTACAAACTTATCAAGGCTAAGGCTAATCTTCAGACAATATCCACTCTTTCACTGGGCCCAAGCTAGAAACCTCTCCAGCTCGATGGGCCCCCCTAAAACTCACACTCTGCTGGCATAGCCTCCAAGCTATGAGGGCGTAGTGGAGAACTTTGGTGGCATTAAGTGTTGTTGCTACCATACTTTTATACCGTGACTAAATGCTCTGAACCCTCACTAGATGCCAACATGCATGTAGATATAACATGTAACTCTGCCAAGTCATCTTTTCAATCTATATCAGTTTAAGATATAAGGTTGTTTTACTTCTTGTACCTGTTGCTTGTCTTGCAATGCATTCTGAGCTGTATCCAAATGATTCTGAAGATCTGCTCTTTGAGCAGTTTTTGCTGCTTCAGCAGACAGCAATAATTCAGTTTTTGCTATAATCTAAAATAAAATGAAAAAATCTCTAATTTATATTCAGAATATTATTTTTATTTCACCTTACATCAATGAATATCATAAGCCCATTTCTGAGGAACTTCTGAAATCATATTAGAAATTATTAGGGGCAGCTAAGTGGCACAGCGGATAGAGCACTGGCCCTGGAGTCAGGAAGACCTGAGTTCAAATCTGGCTTTAGACACATAACATTCACTAGCTGTGTGACTCTGGGCAAGTCATTTAACCCCAACTGCCT